TTGAGCTGGGATTCCCGGTGGGTGAGGATATATGGAGATTGAAGGGAAGGTTTTCCTCGGTATTGGAGAAAAGAGTCAAACAAATGGCATACAGGGCAAGGGTCAGGGCAACGGAACAGGGAGAGAAATGTACGAGTTTCTTCTTTAAGAAATGCAAGGCAGGAGACAACACACTTAGGGAATTGGTGAGTCCGGTCAGAGGCAGGCAGGCAACGACAGAGGGTATGATATAGATAGCGGAGGAGTACTATGGGGAGTTGTATGGGAGGAAGGGAACGGATAAGGGAATAAGGGAGGCACTACTAGGGGAGCTAAGACATGAGGTTAAGAACCCAGAGGTACTCGGAGGGAGGATCCAGATGGAGGAAGTGGAGGAGGCAGTGAGGAGGCAGAATAAGAATAGGACGCCAGGACTGGATGGAATTCCAGCAGAATTCTATATTACATTCTGGGATTTAATGAAAGGGGACATGCTGCAGATGTATAGGGAAATGCTGGAGGGTGGACTGGTGCCAGAAGAAATGTGCGAGGGGCTCATTATACTGATGTATAAGAAGGGGGACCGGAGAGAATTGGGAAACTGGCGTCCAGTTACGCTCCTGAACTCGGACTACAAGATTATGGCAAAAATAGCTGCGACGCGCCTGGGGAAGGTGGTGGAGGGAGTAGTCGAACCCGACCAGATGTGTGCGGTGCCAGAAAGAAGGATTTCGGACTCCCTGATTTTATTAAGGGAGGCAATAGAGGTAGAAGGAGAGAGGGGATGCCCCCTAGGGCTTCTTAGCCTGGATCTTGAGAAGGCTTTCGACCGCCTCTCGCATGAGTATATGTTCGCAGTGTTGGAAAAAATAGGAGTGAGGGGACCCTTGGTCGATTGGGTGAGGCGTCTTTACCAAGGGCTCAAGACCAGACTACTGATAAATGGGGAGCTCTCTGGGACAATTCCAGTAGAGTCAGGGGTGAGACAGGGGTGCCCGATGTCCGCGGTTCTATTTGTAATGTGTATGGAACCCCTTGCACAGGCAATGAGAAACAATGAGGAGATTAAGGGAGTGACCATCCCCGGGAATAAGGAACAGGGGAAGGTGGCGCTATATATGGATGACGTAGTCGTGCTCTGTAGGGACGTGGCATCAGTGTGGGGGGCCATGAAGGAGACAAACCGCTTCGGCCTGGCCTCCGGCTTGAAGGTGAACGCGAGGAAGAGCGAATTGATGGCCTTCGGGGACCCGAGACTATTTGAGGGCCGGCCGCCTGAGTTGGGGATAAAGACGGAGGAAGTCAAGGTCTTGGGAGTGTCCTTTTGCCGAGAGAGGTCGGCGGAACGAAACTGGGACGGGAGGATAAAGCAGGTAAAGGGACAGTTAGGCAAGTGGGCCGGGAGACGGCTCACGATGGAAGGGAGGATTCTGGTAGTGAGGGTAGTGGTTTTACCAACACTCAACTACCTCGCATATGTGTACCCGCCAGGTAGGAGGGAGGCAAGAATCCTGGAATCGCTGTTGTTTCAATTCATTTGGGGAGGCGGGATGGATAGAGTGAAGAGGGTGGTGATGTGTAAACGCGTCGAGAACGGGGGGAAGGGTGCCCCAAATATTGCACGTGTGCTGTCCTCAATTTTTGTGTGCAACACTTTGAGGTTATTCTTTTCCGAAGAGCCACGGGGGAAGGCCGCTTGTTATTTAAGGTATCGCCTGATGTGGCTCCTGAGGGGGCTTGGGATGACCCAATTACCGGCGGGCACGCCCTTGGCCTGGCCACAAGGATGGCTGAATGCGGCGGTGGGTGACTACATAACAGAGTACAATTTGAGTCAGAGAGGGGGACCGTGGAACTCCAAGGAGGTATTGGCCAAAATAAACGAAGGGGAGGCCTGCGAGGGGGTGATGGGCGCGAAGAGGACTATGTACCGTCAAGTGTGGAGGAACACTTCATCAACGGCGCTCACAAAAGAACAGAGAGATCTGTCCTGGTTGGCAGTGTGGGATAGATTGGAGACGAGGGGCTTCATGTTTTCTCGCCGAATGGCACGTTCGCCCAAATGCCCGAGGGGCTGCAACACAGATGAGGATGCGGTGCACGTCATGGTGAGGTGTCCCTTCGCACAGGAGGTGTGGAGACTGAGCAGTCCGCTGTTGTCCTGGTTTTACCCGTCGCAGGTGATAAGTCGGGACATTATGTGGGGAGTCTTAAGGGAGGTGCAGGGAGATGACAGAGATCGAACGTGGGCCATAATAGGCGCGACAAAGGAGGCCTTGTGGGGAGCTCGCAGAAAAGAGTTGGATGGGTCCCCTATATCACCGTTGGAGGTGTGCTACTGGGCGAGGAGGTTGCTAGAAAGGGTGATGGAAGTAGACCGGGTTAGGCTGGGATACAAGGCCGCAGGTGTGAAGTGGAAGTGGCCCCTACCCGGGGTGGGGTAGCGAGGGGACCGGCGGGTATAGGGAAGGGATAGTGAAGGATGGCCACGCACATTTTAGCCGGCCTGCTAAGTCGTGTGGGCGAGGAATGTACGTGTTCGATCGGGGGAAGGCGATGTGATGGAGCAGCGCATGGGTGAATGGTGGTGATGAATGTGAATAAGGGGAACGGGGCGGTGTGCGTTATGGCGGCGAGCTTTTTTTTGTTGCATTGTATGTGGGTGGAGCCCGCGGATGTGACGGAGACTCGAAGGGGCCAACCGGGGCGCCTGGGAAGGAGTGGTTTTCAGTGCTCTTTTTGATTTTCCTTGTACCCGCTGAGAAGTTAATAAAAACCTTTAAATCGCAATTACCAGCGAAACGTCGTACTCAAATTGTAAATGTTGTGGTTGCACGCTTCAACACACCGGTGGGCTAAAGCAGTGAACTATTTGTCTTTTGTCAACGTGACACTTTTTTATTGATTGGCCATGTCGGGTGGTGGAGGGTTACGACACATTTATAAATAACGCGATCTAAACTCAAAAACGTTGATTATGTCGCTCTGGTGTTCGTGCTGCGCCTCATGCATTGCCGTCTCCTTCGTGGAGGCCATTCTCCCAAAGGAGTCATTTGCATGCCATTGAATTAACAATTTTTATCCTTACTCGGACAATTTAACACGTGAGCATGAGAATACATTTTAATCAATGATCATGGAATCATTATATGCATATCCATTAAGAGCGTTATCGGCCTGAAGCTGATTGATATTCATAGCCTTGTGTCTGCGTGCGTGCATTGCCATCTTTAACCAAAGACTCTTTGGAACTGGCCACACGTAATAGTGTCCCTACAGTGAGCAGAGATGCCATTTATGGCTGAATAACTTGATTTTAAAAATGCTCTAATTATTTGAGTTTTAAAAGGAGATCTATAATTTATTCTCCAATGTCTTTAGAACTAACAGAATAAAACTCCAAGACTACACAATAAATATTATACGTGGATTAAATGTGTATGGAACAATTGACAATCTAATGCTCCGTTCGTGTGTGGAAGTGTTGTTGTATGTCTATGTGGGGAGCGGTAGTGCAGCGGTTAGCGTGCTGTGCTACGAATCTGGTGACCCGAATTCTGCTCACGGCCACCATCAGTGCCGATAATCTAATCCGGGCTGAGCCTCCCTTAGGTCGACTCAGCCAGAAAATGAGTATCTGGTGTGGTGTGTAAGCATTACGACTTGGGAGACAAAGGGTGTCGGGCATGATGCTGGCCACCCACCCCTTATGTGTATCGTTCAGGCCTTCATAGGTGCCTGCCGAGCAGCTCTTTCCCAAAGGTTGTTACGGTGATACAGGGTGTCTTTGTTGTATTATATGCATGTGCAGTGAGTTCAACTGAGTCGCAGACGTAGACTTGAAGGCAACACATTTATTTAACTACAACACACGGGGTAATTATCCCTTTCACAGAATAACAACCTATGGCGGTGACCACCAGGATAACTACACTAATTACAATGTAACTGCTACTACGGACCAGGACCAAAAGCTCTGGTCCAGGTCCACGTGTTGGAGACTCGTTGAACGTAGAACGTAGACGAAGGTTTCTTCAGGATGAACAACAACCCTGGTCCCTCTCAGGACCCGGCTTACATTCTCTGCGGCGTGGCTGTTCCGCCCTGGGCCACGACCACCTTCCAGAATCCTCGGGAAGGATCTGGATCCCAACCACGTGACTCCCTGAGCTCCCACTTGGGACCCCCTTGTAGACTTAACCGGTCACGTGTCCTCTCGGGTCAACCAGAGTGCCATGGCCTTTAGTACCCTCATCCTACGGTCGGCACTCCCACACCCTGTCCTGTAGGGCTGGCACTGCACGCCAAGCGTGGTGCCATCCAGCGCTATCAATCAGCGCTCACCGGGCCCCTCTAGGGCCGGTACTACACCCACACCCTCGTGGTGTCCGCGATGTCGCTACGCCGCACGCCGTGCCTCTCTAGGGCTGGCACTGCATGTTGACACCCCGCGATGTCACTACACTTGTAAAGCGCAGAGAGTTGGCACAGTGGAGAGCATAGTTGGAGCATCTGCCAGTCATCTGAGACAAACCCGTGGCACCTGCTGGGACTGTTCTGTGATTTCCTACCAGCAGGGCCTTCGACATTTCAAATGACCTTAAACTGCCCCTAGCCTGACACAAGCGCAGTGGTGATGTCACCGTGACTTAGTGGTGAACGACGGTCATTATGTTATATATATGTATTATTACATATCATTATTAAGATTCTGGAGTAGGGGGCAATGTTGCATTGTGTTTGGGCAATTGAGTAATTTCAGGTAATTTTTCAGCATTGTGGTGTTTGGCCAATACAGACCGGTTACTTTGTTTATGTTTTAGCTGTGGGAGCAACCAGGGAAACCGGATAAAACCCCATGGTAGAACAGGAGGAGAACATACAAACGTTACACAGAAAGATCGACACAGAAAGGCATCCGAGTTGGGAATCGAACCCAGGCGCTTATTCATGCGAGGCATGAACTTACCACAGCGCCAACCCTGCCGTCCTTTGTCTTCTCTCGGCTCCTCCCAACCCAGGCACCCAAGTCGGCGCGAGGGCCGAGGCTGGGGTCGCCGCGTCCGGCGTTTCCCGCTGGGGTTTGAGCGACACAGTTACCACGGCGACGTGCACGCCGATCGGCCCAGCCTCCTCTCCCAGCAGCCCCTGCTGCCCCCGACGCCCCCAGGTGTGGCGCCATCACTCACCCCCGCCAACACGGACATCAATATGGGACCTTGCAAGTATCAAAATATAAGAATAGGTTTTACCCTTTCTGGCAATAAAGCAGAAGGTGTTAAGATGTTAAAACACCAAACAGAAACCTTTTGCAGGAATCCTGTCTGCAGTAACCACACATACTTGTGTTGAGCATGCAAACAAATACATGCTCTGGTGATTAATGGGCTTCGTGGTAGGGTAGGGTTAGGGATGGTTGTGTGACCAGGTAAGAACCAAAAGAAGCGGATCATTCCATTTGTAAGGGTGGTGTAGGTCATCGAAATTACGAAAGCAATAAAAACAAGCACAGTGATGACATGGATAGGCTGGGTGGTTAGTTGGTTCCCCTAACGATCAGTGGGAGGGCTTGTATGAGTGGCTCGTTGCATTCGGGCTTGAGTCAAGGAGCATAAACCATCACACGAACTCCAGTCATCCTCGCAGCAGGCTTTTGGCTGGCCATCGAACAAAGATGGTCACTGCATTGCGCACTTTCAGATGCGCTTCTGCGGCCATCTGGAACACTCTTCCTTTTGATATTAGGAAGCCACTGGAGCTATGCACTTTTAAATCTAGATTTTAAACTAATTTCTTGAGAACTGCTTTTTGTGTTTAGTTTGTTGTCCTTCAGCCGCATCTCTGATTAGCATGGTTAACTACGTACGGTGCAAAAGCAGTCCAACATACATACATGCAAAGTTGAGGCTAGTACTCGTGGCTCGTTGTTTAGGGTTGAGGCTAGTGTGAGTGGCTCATTTGTTTGATATGAACGCCGCTGCATCATAACCATACATTTTATTAAATAATAATGAAACAGAGGATAACGTAAACAACAACCTCCAAGGTTCTGAGGGAGCCATAATAGTTTGACGGGCAGCTCATAGTAATAGTGTCGCTAATTATATTGATGGAGGTAGTTTGTCTTTGAGATGTTTGAAGCACAACATTTGAGTTAAACCGGTTTATATGATATTAGTAAGAAAGACAAACTGGCAGCTATAGATGGGGCATACAATCTCCCACGAATTTTTTATTTATTTGGAAAATCGTTTGATGCATAGCAGACAAACAATGCACAGGCACAGTTTAAAATCTATGAACTTATAAAGGGTACATTTATGCATTGTCAAAAATAATCAAGAACAATATCGATGATCCAGCTTGCGCTGATGCACGCCAGTTGCTCTCTCACTCACCGGCAGTCACCCTCCTCCGCCGTATCACCCTTCTGTTGCTACGAGCAAGGTCACTGTTCCCATGAACTGCACTGGTTGACTCCTCCACCCACATTGAGGACTCGGTCTATCAGACTGTCATCTCATCCATTGTACTGCGTTTAACAGCCACACCGCATGCCACACACATTCTATTTCTGATTCTTATCTCACACTGCTCCATTTTTGGTGTTTTGGGCCATTGCAATTTCCTCCCGTCGTCACTGTACCGGTATCCATCAATTTTAAAACGTTTGGTTTATGAAATTTCATGTTCCCGCAATTAAAAAATTATGCTCACTTTTCGATCAACGAAATCGAATTTCCGCGTTAATGAAACTTTCACTCGGCCCATGCCATGAGACCATGAAACAAGAAGCCCCCAGGAGGCTGCGTCGTCATCCACCCACGACATCGTCACGGTGTCCCTGCATTGCCACAGTAACGCCCCACGTCACCTTCACTGTCATTCCAACATGCAGCAGATCTTTTGCTGAGTTCCCTGAAAATGTTAGTTTTTTTATTAATAATTTAATCGTTTTCATATTTATATTCTTATTATATTTGTAATATAGGTGGTGTATTTTGAGGTTAGGAGTAGAGTTGGAATAACTGTCCCAAACACATCCCTAATATTACGTATTATAATAATGGAAAAAGCTATTCCGATTTTAGAAATATCGTTTTGCACGTATTTTTGGAAGAACGTATCCCTTTCGTAAATCGAGGGATATAAATTTATATAAATATATATAACTCTCGTTGCAGCAACTCTTTCTCCGAAGTCAGCAGTTCCCCTGCTGTGTTTGTCTCACCTGATGACGGTTGCTTGTGTTGCGATCGAAACGTCGTGATCTATTAATTTTCTATCTACGTGACTTTACCGAAAGGACCAAAGAGTATTCAGTGCAAGACAAACTTTATCCCTTAGACTTCATTTAATTTATTTTTATTTCATATTTGTCCCTCACATTTAATTTCTCCGACTGCCTCAGGAATGCAGGACAGTTAAGTACCTTTGATAGAGCTGGCGATTGTGCCCAGGATACATTCCCAGGTGGACCGCGCCTCGTGCTCACAAGATCAAATCTTCCCAGAGTGGAATGTACCAGCAATATTTTATTTTACTTTGAATGTAAATTTTATGTTTAGTAAAAAATATTTCATATTGACGGATTTGCCTGTTACTCAATAGCTATTGTTAGGTAACTAATTATATGCCGGTATTTAAAAACTGGTCACCAGAAAACAAGTTTAAAAATGTATAATCAGACCCCATGGAGTAAACAAGGGCAGTCTCCAACTGTTGTTATCTGCTCCATCGCTCTGGGCTCTATGTTTATGTTGCTATGAGAAAAAGTGCCATTGCCCAAAACATCGACTATTAAAAACTTTTTTTATACTTTTCCTTTTAAGGCCACAGTGTTAGTGATAGTTTTTATCGATTTGAATAGGCATGTTAACTTTTACCTATAGCAACTTTTACAGTGCTGTTCATTACTGGCCACTTGAAATTTTGGGCTTTGAGCCTGTGCTCAGCAAAAGGAACAAGATGGCCCAGGCAGCAAATATGAGCATGACGATGCATGGAGTGGACAGCGCTGTGTCCCTAGACCACACTCCTTGCATGATCGCACTGGGGGGAGGGCCCTCTGTTAATGGACTGCTGTGAACCTTGCAGGGCGGCGTAAGTCCTTCAACATGGAGTGCTGGAAAAGGCAGGGTACCCAAAGCATCACAGGAGAGGTGACCTTGCCGCCCAGCCAACGTAGCACCTGCCTCCCCCTGCTGATGTCACAGCTGCAGGTGAGCGAGTGAATATGTGCTGTCTGAGTGTTGTGTGAAAATCTGTGAAAAAGAGCTTCATAGCTCATCAAATTCCACCAGTATAAATAAAGATTCTGATTCTCTAGTGCTTAGTGCATTGCGCTACAAACTCAAGTGCATTTCCACTCACAGCCAACATCAGTCATGAATATCTGAACAGGTCCTGGAATTCCCCAAGGTTGACTCAGTCTTAAATGGGTACCAGGTGCAGTATATAATCGTCAACATTGGAGAGACAAAGGAGACCGGGTGTGGTGCTGGCCATCCACTCCCAATACTGGATATGGGTTCACAAATTCTCCACTGATTTTAACCGCTCAGCACATTTCAAACTTGGGTTGCTGGGTTCATAGTGCAATGCACGCTCCACTATCCCCACTGTACAAGCATAATACATGCACACGGACTCACACCACACAGCTAAAAAGAAACCAGAGGCAATTAGGCTGTTATTGCCCTGCTAGAGGGAGTGACCCACATGTATAGAGACTCATATAATGATTATGCACAGTGCTTACAAAAAATGCACATCAGTCCACATCTCTTGTACCTTTAAGATGTAATTTCATCTGCCTCACATTCTCATCTTTGCTGTCATTGTCTATCAGTTTTACTCTTTATTTAAAGTGTCACAAGACATGCAACTCTGGCTGATCAGTATTTAGAGCACAAAATAACAATTAGCCATGCTAATTATTATCTTGTTGTACATTTTGTAGATTTGTGTTCAACTAGGAACCATGTCTAACAGAGAGGGTCGTTGCTTGTCAAAACTGGCACTTCACTTTTACATTAATTCGAGCAAACCTGTCTGCCGAGAAGACACTGGATGTCAAAAACAGTCCGCGAGTGGTCAGATTGATCAAATGCTGCTGGAATTGTGCACTCCCAGAAGGAGATTGTTTTTATAGAGATTTTTTTTTATTTTATGTGGAAGGCCAGCTACAGAAGTGAGGCGAATTGTCTGTGTACTGTATTTATATCCTAGGGCTTTGAGGGTTGGGTAACTGAAAGGGTCAATGCCCAGAACATGCCACACCCATGGTTTGTTAAGAAATCTGAACCCTGACACCAAAAAATACGAACCCTGGCAAAAACAGCATTGTGAAACAATTACAGTAATTGAATCAATGACCTTAACTCGAGAAATAAATTACATTTATCTCTGCACATTAACGTATGTGATCCCAATTGAGTAATTTGCAGGTAATATTTCAGCTTTTGGATGTTTGGTCAATTCCTGTTGCAGAGCGTTGTTTTTTTTAATGTGTAGTGCAGGGGTGTCCAAACTTTTTGCAAAGAGGGACAAATTTGATAAAGTGAAGATGCCCGGGGGCCAATAGTTCCTTCCGACATTTTTACCACAAAAGTTACGTGAAAACACACACTGTTATAAAACAATTATCATTGTCACAATTAACTTTATTTTTCAAATGACAATGTAACCAAATATAAGCCGCTCAGGCAGACGTGAACAACTCTAAATACACAATTCTGCCTTTCATTCAGTCAGATAACATTGAACAAACTGTATAGAATAGTTACATTTCCATGAGTTAAATATATTAGCCTCATGAACATTTTAAACAGGAGTTATAAGTAATGCATTAAACTTTGAAACAAGTGAATTTTGTCTTTTACGAGATCTTTCAGAAAGCATGAGTTTGTGTCACATCTACAGGTACATAACATCAAAAGTTATAACCAAATCTTATTCAAGAGTTTAATAAAAAACAAGTGCCATAAGTCAAAGTGCATTAGTGTGCTTTAGGCTTTTCACTGTTAATAGTGACAGATGTTACCGTTCAAAACACTCAATTTCAGATTGATCAAGGAACAGATAACTTGCTGACACTAATGAGAAGGGTGATACTGAGATCTAGATTTCAGTAAAGAGACCAGGTCTGGCTTGAGGGCAGTGGTTGAGATGCATAAAATGCCACGCAATTTGGAGTCACTCATCCTTGACCTAAATCGGTTCTTATTTAAGTTCATGACTGAGAATGTATGCTCACACAAATATGTGGAGCCGAATAATCTCAAAATTTTCTTAGCGAATGACCGCATTTATGGAAACCTGCTTTTGTCCAGCTGCCGGTAAAAGTCAACAAGAGAACACTGCTGGTGTTTCCCGCGGCACTCATCGTCAAACTGCAGCTCAATGAGCTCCAGATGCAGCTGTGGAGGAGCATCATCAGGGTCCACGGAGAAGGGAGAAGAGAAAAGCAACATGTCCTTTTCAATAACTGCAAAGTCCCGAAAGCATTTGTTAAATTCCACAGAAAGAGATGCGATAGCTGTTGCATAACTCTTCATTTGCGCACCGATGTTGTCCTGTGAGAAACTGTCAATTACCTCTTTCAAAGCTGGGAAGTGTGCGGTGCAGGGCTCTGTTTGTGACAAGTGTCTTTGGAAAAGTTGCAGTTTATTGCCAAAGGCCTTGGTGTAAGCATATAGCTGGCTCACCACTGCATCTTTCCCTTGAAGATTAACATTCAGCGCATTCAGATGCTTCGTTATGTCAACCAAAAAAGCCAGATTTGCCAGCCATACAGGATCGGAAAGTTCTTCCATTGGTTGTCTCTTCTCACCCAAAAAATGTCCAATTTCCTCTTTGAGAGAGAAAAATCGCTGCAGTGCGGACCCCCGACTTAGCGACCTCACATCGTTGATATATTACGTCACCGTATTCAGCCTGGATGTCACGCAAGAACTGCTGCAACTGTCGGTGGTATAGAGCTTTAGAGCGAATAGAATTGATTGCCTTTGCCACTGGTTTCATAACATCGTCAGATTTGAGATGTTTGGCGCAGAGAGCCTGCTGGTGAATGATACAGTGAAGTTTAATAGCGTTACCTGCTTCTTTGCTGACTTTATTGCAGATCAGTGTGGACAATCCACTTCGCTCACCAGCCATAGCAGGCGCACCATCGCTAATGATTCCAGAAACTTTACTCCATGGTAGTTTCATATCATCATCAGCTTCACAAACAGAAACGAATACATCTGTTCCTCTGGTTTGCCCTTTAAGGCTTTTGAGGTCAAGCAGCTCCTCTGTCACGTCCATGTTGTCATCAACTCCTCTTAAAAAAATAAGTAATTGTACAGTGTCAGATGCATTGGTACTTTCATCGCAGGCTAATGAGAAATAATCAAAAGCCACTCCCCTGTCCCCCAGTTGTCTCGGAATATCTGACGATATGTCCTCAACTCTCCGTGCTACAGTGTTGCGTGCCAGGCAAACATTCATAAGTTCTTGCTTCTTCTCGGGGCAAATGTTCTCCACCATTTTAATGACACAGTCCTTGATAAACGCACCTTCAGTAAAAGGTTTGCCATGTTTAGCTATTAATATGGCCACTTCGTAGCTGGCTTTGTTGATGTTTTCCTTTGACTCACAGGCCGGCGTGAAGAATCACTGTTGCGATGCCAGAGCAGCTTGAAGTGGCTTTACTTTTTCAGCGCGGTCACTCCCTGTTAGCTTGTCGTAAGTTGTAGCATGTTTAGTCTCATAGTGTCTCTTTACATTGAAATCCTTAAACAAGGCATCCGTCTCTTTACAAATTAGACAAACACAATTTCCTCGATTTCCAGTGAAGAAGTATTGTAATTCCCACCGCTCCTGAAAGCGGCGGCCCTCACTGTCAACTTTTCTCTTTTTTTTTGCAGTCGCCACGGCAGATATTATTCGAGAAGGGTTCGCGGCACGGATGCAAAATTAGAGAGCATTAGAATGGTGCTGCCACCGTGTGGCAGAAAGAGGAATAACATCTTTAAAGTTTTACGATTTATTCTGACAGAGCTCGCGAGCCATAAATACCACATTATAAGACCGAAGCTGCGGGCCGTATGAAATCTGCCCGCGGGCCGTTATTGGCCCGCGGGCCGGACTTTGTACATGCCTGGTGTAGTGGATTCAACTGAGTCGCAGACATACTTCTTGGAGGCAACACATTTATTAACACCAACACATAACACAAAGGGCTTACTGCCCCTTTACCAGATAACCTGTGGTGGTGGACCACCAGGCTAACTACGCTAGTTACTGGGAGTAGCTACAACGGACAAGACCCTAGCTGGTATTCCTCTTCCACGTGTTAATGACTTCATCTTGGACGTAGAACGTAGATCGTAGATCTTAAGATGACAACAGCAACGCTGAACCCCGGTCCCTGTGGGGACCCGGTTGATCTGCTCCCGGGTCGTGGCTGGCCCCGCCCTTGGCCACGACCACCTTCGAGAAACCTCTCGTCGTTTCTCGACCCTTCCCGTAGGATCTCACCCTGACACGTGACCACCCCCTAGCCCCCGCCAGGGGCCCCTGTGTAGATCTTACCGGTCACGTGCCTTCCAGGGTCAACCAGAGTGCCATGGCCTGGGGTAACCTCATCCCCTGGCTGACACTCCCACACTCCCTCCTGTAGGAGTCAGCACTACACGCCACGCATGGTGCCACTGAGCGCGATGACCCAGCACACACCGAGCCCCCTCGAGGGCTGGTACTGCACCCACCTACGGGGTGTCCGCGATGACAATGCATCGCATGCCGTGCCTCGCTAGAGCCGGCATTACACAGTGACATTCACTATGTCGATACAAATGCATTCATAGATGTGCTCTGTCTCATGTTTGGCAACATTGTGCTGTCTCCATCACGAAACCTTGGTGCAATTTGCTGCCACGATGTATTTAATTTATCCGATAACGACAAGAATCTGACTTTGAGTGTCTCTGCATTCATGAAGATAGATCGGGCGGTGCTCGTGTTTATTGGTGGCTCTGCGGTGAAACACACGAGGTACTGGCATAGATCAGCAGAAGATACGAGGAAAAAATTGGCTTTTGAGCAGCTTGTGATTTTCTCACTTGCTCACTTATCATTGACAGACTCCAATACGCTCTTCCCAGCTGACCCGTCAGTTCAAATGGGCAGTGTGTATTCATGAGTCTAGACTGCTTTAGCACTCCACCTTTGTGCC